TTATTATTATTATTATTATTATTATTATTATTATTATATACAGTTGATGTATGCAAGTAAATTAACTGATAGCGCGATGGTTTCATCGATAAACCATGAGGACCCACCTCTACTACCCGGACGACCTCGGAAAATGTGATAAAATATTTAGAGTATTACTGAGTGTTGAGGCGTTGCTTCGGAGTTTGCTCCGCGAATAGATTTCAGGCAATGATAACATCTTTAAATGAACTGTACAGATTAAGTTAGAATTAATGCTATTTTATCTTTAAACAAGTTACACAAGGCTCTTTTTCATAACCCTTTCCAAGCTACGAATAGCAAGCGAAACATTGGAAATAAATAGGTCACTTTAAAATATCTGAAGTTACCTTTGCCACCAAACACTCAAAACCCTGTCAATTAAGCAAGAGTAATTCTCTTTGAGCTACATTGACGTTTACTCCATTGAAAGTAAACTTACAGCCCACCAGAGGAAAAGAAGTTGTCCGCTCCACAGCGATTTTTCCGCTTTCGAAACTACAATGCGTTTCATAAAGGCCTTTAACTACAATCCGATCATAATCCTGCATTCAACGTTCGATGCTGCGCGATTAGATGCAAAATCATATTTTTATGTACAAGTTTTTTTTTCATCAAGTAAAATGGAAAGAACTAACAGTTCAATTTATCATATGGCGAAACTGTAACCTGAGTAACCAAAATATCCAACCATGGAAAATATTATAAACTTGTTTAAATAAACAAGCCTTAAAATTTGAAGTCATTTCTTCGATAATTTGTTATAGCAAGATGCTAGTATAGAAATGTAGGCCAAAAACTCTAACAATGTTTCCCTAGGCTAACATTTTCTTAAACCGTTGCTGATGAACGAGTGAACGAGACCCAGGGAGACCCATGAAAACCCTCAATCGTAAACTTGCAGGCTATGATCCCGAACCGCCTTTAGAATCTTTATTTTGGGTTAATTTTCCTTAATTTCATTCAGCTTCCCAAAGAGTGTGAGGTAAGCTTATTTCTAACAGAAACAAAATCAGTTGTTTTACAAGTTTCCTTCCATGTAGATCATAAATTTTGGTTACAATAGTATTCAAGACAGAGTTGGACCCATCACCATATGAAATAACAACAAAAAAAACACATGATATCAGTAACGTGATTTATCGTTTCTCAAGAGTCATCAACCACAATCATCGATTTAACTTGTTCATTATCGTGCTAAGTGTATACCTCTGCAAGAACAAACAAAACGGAGAATCTTAACTTACCGCCGATGAAATTTACATCGAATGTATAATACAGCCTGAAGCTGTGCAGTTTTCCAAATCAAAGAATAGCCGGGGAGATAACTTGCGGAAAACAAAATGGTTAAAACTAAATCATTCAGTAATTTTCTAACGACCTTACTTACGTTTTATTTTCTTCAGCACATATGAAGTTACACTGCTATTAGTCTGATACCTACTGTGAACTGAAAGCCCGACAGCACATAATATCAATAATTATGCTTATATCACGCGGAGTCTTTTTTTCCAGCAACTTCTTCAAAATTCCCAGTGTCAAATTTGAGAAATACAACCACCTCATGCTCACGAGTAGTGAAATAGCAAACACTGGAAACATTATGAGGGGGTCTGATAAGTTTAATGTCATACCATTAGTACTATATAGTGTGATTATACTGATATTCTATTTCATTTCATATTCTTCGGCGTTCAAGCGACTGCTAACAATAGACTGACGTACGAACAAAACCGCCAGCAGCCCCCCGGGGGGATACTCCCTTATATGGGATATATAGGTTTGTGCGGCCCCAAAGGGTAGGGTTTTTCAGCCGTTTTAATCATAAATAGGGTATCGATTTTGGCCATTTTGGTTATAAATAGGGTATGGCTTTAGCACTCTAGTCTTTAATTGGGTATATTTCTTAGAAGAATCTACTTTTTCTTCGTTTTCAATAAGANGCCATTTTGGTTATAAATAGGGTATGGCTTTAGCACTCTAGTCTTTAATTGGGTATATTTCTTAGAAGAATCTACTTTTTCTTCGTTTTCAATAAGACCATCAACAAAAGCCCTTCATAACTTAAGTTTACGGCAACCGCGCCAGCCGCAACGGTCATAAATAGGGTATTGAATTTTTGGCCAGGTCATAAATAGGGTAGGAAAAATCGCAGATTTTGGTCATAAATAGGGTAAGGGTTTTGGGAAGTGGGCCGCACACCTCCACCCAACTTTTCTGGGAGTACCCCCCCGGGCAGCAACCATGAACGACTGCCAGACACTGACAATAGAGCCAAGGTTATAACAGGTACTCCAATAGGAAAGCTGTCATCTGGATGCACGAAACCTTTTTTGGTTCTCAGGTGCTTCCCCATCTTGATTTTGCGTGAACATTTTCAGTTGGCTTACTAAGAACATTCTTCAATTTTACTCAAAATCCTAAACTTACTACCCTTACACTGGTATATTACATGAATGTCATGTGCATGTCTGCAGAACTAAAGGGAATGAAGTCTTAAATCGCTTTCTCCTTCAGTGAAACAGTCTTCAAATGGAAGCAGACCTACAGTTTTACTGTTCATCAAAAGGTTAAAACGTTGCCGGATTTTTTATGTAAAAACTGCCAGATAGGATCGTCCACAAGCAAGGAAAACCACTGAAGCGAAGGTTTCAAAAGCTCTTACAGTTAAACAATCAAATTAAAATACAATGGAACACCTCCGACGACCAGCCCGTTAATACAACCACCTATTTATTATGGTGATTATCTTTTGGGCTGAAGAAAACGCTTAGTCGTACATTTCCCATTTTAAGAACCCCTTAAACATGACCTCTCCCTTGACACGACCACAATTTTATGCGCAGGCGCAAGTTATGTGACCTCACTTGTCTCACCAAACGATCAGGAGACAAATCAAAATCTAGTTCTCAGAAGATGCGAAGGCCTTGGGAACGACATTAGCACAAATCGAAGGCTAGAATCACTGAACACACAATGACCACGGTGGAAACGGTTGTCATATCAATGTTCGTTTTTAACAAAGACTATTTGACATGCTAGCTGGCAATTTGTCACACTTTTATCCAGACACTGTCAAGCTTCGTTTACATACTAAGAAACCCGGAAAGCGACGATAGAAAAAAACATGCCAATGTTGATTACTTTATTGTAAATCACTTTTTACAGCAGCAGTAGCAGCAGCAGCTGCATCTTCAAATAAATGAAATATTGTTAAGAATTGCCAGATGACAACCTAGCAAGCGGGATCTTCCTATAAAAGGTTAAAAGACCCGAGAATGCTACTCTTATTTCTTTGTACGGTAAGTGTTGAATGTTCATCACAAAACTTTGAAACCCGCGTTTGGCAAATTGTAATCTAAGTTCTTTGTTTAATCTGTTCCTCTTGAGCAGTTCTATTTGCTTTCACCGGTATTGGCTGATGAAGTTTTATCAGAAGGTGAGAATAATTAATAGTCGTTCTGTTTAGTTTTGCATGGTCCTTCTGTTGGCAAAAGAAGACATGCGAGACTTTCCACAGTCAAAAATACACAAGAACGTCTAGCCAGATATAAATCTTATTTACAATATGACTTGCTGTGCTGAATGTAATATATGTCTTGCTTATTTGCTTTTCAAACGAAGAAGCAGGACCAAAATTTCATTCAGATATAAATGTATTTCCCCTTACAAATATTAGTATATTCCGTCTTGCTTGTTTGCTTCTAGCATCTAGCGAGACCACTGAAATCAGTCATAAGAAAAGGCCTTTCGAGCGCAAGCTTTTATCAGCTTTCCGTTGAGATAAAATACATTTCCCTAAACAAATTAAAACAACTTTCTTTACCAACAGGAAATAAATTGCCCTAACATCGAAGTCAGAGATGAACTTGAAAAATAAAAATTAAAAATGCGTAAAAATAATAAACACAGTTTTAACAACCCGGCGATTTCAAATTATTCTCTTCGCCGATGTCATCGTTCTACCTAATTGTCAGCCCATGTCGCAGTTAATTAAAAATACGTCAAATTTTGGCCTCCTTTTAAATTCATTTTGTGCATATAAAAAATTTTCTTTTACGAAGACTGTTTTACTGAAATGGATATCAAGTCTCATAAACTACCAAGTACGTGCTGCTGAAAAAAAATTAGAAATGAAGAAGGGTGCGTTGTACATGTACACGTGCATGCAATATTAGTGAATAATTCTGACCGATATTGCTTATCACTAAAAGATGCTAAGTAAGTCAAGGAAGCCAATTACGTAGAAAGAAACGCAGAGCAATACTGATTGGCGACATACTTTTATCAAAACGATCGTGACCAGCGGAGAGCATCTGATGCACTGTTAAATGATCACTGTGCGAGATTGGCTTCCCTTCCGACTGTAGATAATATTTTTGCATTGTGTGCACCCACGTTAACGGTCTAAAAAGGTACATGAGAGTTTTTGTAATTTCCGCCTCTTCTCTTCCCATGTAATCTTGACTTGGAGTAAGAGTACTTCAAAATAGCAGTAAAGATAGTTTGTCATGATCAAATGTCCCAACTAATTCATCAGTGAAATTTGATTGTGTATATAATTTTGCACTCGAATATAAAAGGTTCCCCACGCCTCTTTTACCACGCTTTTCGTGCTTCTCGCTTTTCAGTCAAACCAAAACGGAGACAGCGCGTTCTTAATGCATTCTGAGAGGGTGGTACGGAGAAACGAGACAAAAATTCCATGTCCCATTTTATTGAAAAACCTGTTTCTATCGCTTCTTTTTTATGGGTTAATTCCCTGTTTTAACGTTAAACAGGTTTGACTTGTCCAACCGACTGGTTGTACCTGAACGGTTCCTGCTATCGAGCTTACAGCACGAAGCTGTCGTGGTTTGATGCGGTAAAATTCTGTCAGGAAAATAAAGGAGAACTGCTCAGCATCAATTCTGAAGGAGAACAGCGCTTTGTTTACCAAAGCATGGCGGTCAAAAAAACTCTATGGATCGGCCTGGTCAAAGATTCTGGTTTGCAGAGTTTCCGTTGGTCGACGGGAGAGAAGCTAACTTATCAGAACTGGATTCCAGGAGAGGGAAGCATATCTGGCCATGAGGACTGTGGTGAGATGACAGACTATAGTACATTTCATGGTCAATGGAACGACAAATCCTGCTCCGCAAAACAACCATACATCTGTGAGAAAGGTGACGTGAAATTCCTTTGGTCTGATCTGTCAGTAATCTTGAACCCGGATCTCTCACGGCCAAGCGTCAAACAGTGAGATCTTTGTAAGAGTTTAATCTGTCGGTAAAAGTAGAGCTCTTTCGGAGCTAACCCGCCTAAAAAACGTCGACGCATATAAAGCTTTGCGATGTTGCTTCTTTAGTTTGTTTAAGCAAAGAATTTTGCATGTAACCCTCTCCCATCTCCAGCTAATGCTGGGATGTTTCATTCACGTTTGCGCAGACACACTAACATCTGAACACAACGTTTACAGAGGTGGGAGGAAGGTGGGGAAGTTGTGCACTGTAGGTTCAAATGCGACAAACGCCGATGCGATAAGTAATGCTTGTGATTATACACGAGTCATGGTGCAATGTTAGAAAAATTAAAATAAACGACAAGGGGAAATGATGACATTCAACAAACGAATAAGATGTATAACTTCCCAACTTCCTCAAAATCAAGTGTTGAACATTAACGTGGACACGTTTTCTTAAAACAGATGCGCTAAGTGGACGATATTTCAAGAGGTTACTACGAAGACAGCTGACTGGTCACATGATTAATCACGGGATCACATCTAGTGATATGGAATGCATATTGTTGTGTCAACGCCAGCAACAATGCATGTCAGTCAACTACAAACTTGGAGAATCTACAAGCGCCTGCGAGTTAAATGCCGCTATCGCAGAGGACTTTCCTGAAGATCTCACTTATAGCAACGAGTTTGATTATTATGAGTCTTTCGTATAGAGGCTAGATCATGACGTGGAATGAGGAATGGGATCCACTCGTAACAAAAAATAACTAAATAAATAAATAATAAATAATAAATAAATATAACAAACGCTGCCCTGTATTCGGTTTTCCCATCAAGAGGCAATAAACTCGACACTGCTGCCGGGAAACAGTGACATACTTGTCGTTTTAAACCTTATTTTCTGGCGATAGAAAGCCATCTTAGTATCATCCCTCCTATTTCCCGACCCCTTCCCCAAACAATGGGAGAGATTGTTTCGTACGCTCTGTCGCTGTAATCCTACAACATTAGATGGAGAAAAGGGTTGTTGCATGGTGTTGAGAATTTTCAGAGTTAGTGAAAGTATTGCATGAAAAGAGCCTCTCGAATTCAACATGTACAGTCAATGGAAGGCCAATGAGAACCCACCGCGAAAGATGCGGGAAAATTGACAATTAGGTGAATAACAGAAACGCAAAATTGAAAAAGGTACACTTGTATGCAGGCAACTTGAGCCCCAGCTTTATTTATCAACGTGAGGATAACCCAGTATTCACTCCGATGTTTAAGTTGTTTTCAGTTATGCATGTGAAGTAGTTAAAATTGTTCCTTTATTCGCTATCATAGATCTTTGGTAATATTTATATCTTATTATAGGAAAATATTTCCAGATACATTTTTCCATTCTAAATAAAATTGATGATAGAATGAAGCTTGATAACAAGTTTCATTTTTGATTTACGTGCAGAAAACATCTCGCAAGTGATGTTTGGCTTTTATTTTCTGACTGCGGTGTGAAAAGCAATGCCTTTCATAGCGCACCTAGATGGTTCAAACCTATTTGTTAAAGGGTGAAACGAAGAGCACCATAATGGTACTGTTTCCACCCTCACAAACAGCATCCACATCCCAATAGATGCACATGTAACCTTCATGATCAATTTAAGTAGTTGTAAAGTCACACAGCAAGAAAAGATTTCTCGTTACAGGACTTAGCAGAATTTCCCGCTAGTAACTTCACAGCAAGCTGCACAGGCTACTGAAAGCTTCACAAGTCAAATCTATCTTTGATTTGATAAACCACGTGCTCTTTGCAATGCCCTTCCTTTTCTCAGTCGATCTATGATCATCGTCTCTCGCGAGGAAGCAATATCACATTTGAGGACATACTACCTTTCGATCTCAATTTTTGATTGACGTTTTACCTTCGTAAGGTAAAACACGGAATTTTTGTGATGTTCTTCCGAGTTCATCTCTCAGACAGACAGCATTCAATCAGTTCTCTGTAAGCTGCACTCGTTTGAGCGGCGTTTCTAAACGTGGATATCAAGGTTTCTTTGTGAGTTGAATCGAGATTCTGTGGAAAGAAAAATACTGATCAAAGTTGAGCAGGCTTTTGGTCGAGAAGGGTTCCCTATAAAGTTTCTTAACTTGCATATTCGAGGACAAAACAATTAGATCATGAGGTCAAGATTTCTATGAGGTGACATTTGATGAGGCCGAAGGAACGAGCGAGTAATCTAATGGCCAATTCCCTCTATGAGACGGGCCTGCAGGGGATCTCGTTCGCTGTATTCATCAAACAGATAGCCAGTCCAACGGAGCAACATTCGAGGAATTGTTGAAGATACTGTTGCAGTGTAAGTCCCAAAACGAGGAGTTTTTAGAAGTCAAGCCCTCGTGCGCCACATTGGACTGGACATGAATATTATTTTTGATGGATACAACTACCATGATTCCATACGGGTTCATCTCAGAGGGAATTGGCCATTGTTTTAGTAGAAGTTTACTACTAAATTTCTTTCAAATAACGATTCGAACTCAGTTATTTCTCTTAAAGCAGTATTTAAGTTCACGCTTTAGTAAAAACACGCGCGGATTGAATTGTTGTTCGAAACTTTCAGCTGTATACACCCACTCATCAGTTCATTACAAGAGTTTGAGGGTTTAAAGTCACATGATGCTCAATTTCCTTTCTTGAGTGTTCTTGAGAATTGCCGTTATCCAGTGATATTTCTAAATCTTCCTAAACACATCGGATAAACGAGAAAACCCTACCATTTTGTGGACGACCTCCAGTCACTGCACACTAATGGATGATAGTGAACGAGTGGCTCAGCCAAACAAACTGCAGCATTTGCATTAAAATAGTAGTAGAATTCTAGTAGTATACTAATGCAAACGCTGCGATCTGATTGGCTGAGCTATCTTACAGTGTCAGCCATTATTGTGTAGTGGGTTTAGGTCGCGTTCCAAATTGCGACGTTCTCTCCTTTCTCTCTCCGAAGTTTCGGCGGAACATTTCGAAGCAAATGGGTAATTAAAATCCTGAGGACTATGGGAAGGTAATGCACGATTTCTTGACATCAAAAACTCGAAATTCAGATGCGCGTGTACACAGCTGTAAATTTTGTAAAATGACAAGTTGGTCCGCGCTATTTTTCTAAAGCGCAAACTTTTATACTACGTAGCGAAATAATTGGAAATCGTTATTTGAAGGAAATTTCAGTTAAAATTCTACTAAAACAATTCATCAAATTCATAATCTGATTGTTAAATAGATAAATAGAATTAAAAGCTTGTTGCGAGTGACTGGACGGAACCGATCCAGAAAGTAACCAAAGAATCAATCTTTAGATGGCGGAAAGCGTCTTACCTGAGTTCTGTAGAAATCCATGGCTGCCGCGCAAAATAATTTAACATCGATGCTTTCAAGCTTTCCCATTCTTCCCACGATATAGGAAAAGCTGAGGTCACAGTTAAGGGCAATCTACAAGAAGGTATGATCTGCAAAGGTCCTTACAGTTCTTGCACTTGCCTGTTATTCTACCAACGATGAACGTTTCACAAAGGGCAGTGCATACACTCAATGACCGGATGTCCCTTCATTTAGCTAAAGAAAAAAATCCGAAGGCAAGAGATTGGGGGCGGGGAGGGGAGGATTTCCAATATGCTTTACGCATTGAGTCGCCCAGAGCACTATCACGATAATCTCAAAATGATATTTCATACTTCCGAGTACATAAGAGAAATTGAGAAACCACGAGCCGTATACAAGTTTCTTCTCAATTTCCAATTGTTCTCGAATTCCTCACAGTGCTGGGCTGTTTATGAAAGTACGATACAAAGCTTTGGCTCCTAAAGGCTTTGTGATAGAGATTTAACGGGTCAGAAAAAAATGAAACACGCTGTTTATGTTTAAAACTATAATAACTCATAGTATTTTACCCGATCAGACTGCGCAAAATCCAAACTACAATATCAAGAGTTTCATGACTTTTCACTCGAGAATGACTAAATATAAATGAAAACTTCAACGGATACAGAGCTCGGATCCATTTGTTGCTGGAAGCGCTCACAAAGAAGCAAGTTAGACTCCACACGGCCATTGATAGAGGCGTCCTATTACATGAAAAAACCACAACATATTATGTGAGTTTTGAACGTGTACGAAAAAACATAAATTGTACAAGCCGCTTTTCGCTCTCTCAGTTTCAAGTCAAGTCAAAGTTATTCAGCTGAGTAGCTCTTGTTTTTATCCACGAGTTTTGCGTCCTCGCAAAAGTTTCAGAGAGAGCAAAAAGGTACTGTTTTGTAGTCTAAAATCCTCGACAAAAGTAGCAGGAACGCTCAGAGTAATGGATGGTATTTTGCGTCACTTAACTCTTAAACTTTGAAAATAACAGTTTTGAGATCCTAAAGCATACGTTAAGAGTATCCCTACCCCCCACCCCCCACCCCCATTTCAGTGTTGCATCTTAAAGGGATATGTTTTAAGAATAATTTTGGTGGAAAGTCGACACTGACAAAAGTAGGAGGTAGGAAGTAGCAGTAGTGTAAAACGTGCCACAAATTTTGTTCCGAATTGTAGGGTAATCATAAAGAAGCAATTCTATATATTAAAAAAAATAAATAAATAAAATAAGGACGTTATCCTCAATGTTACAATGCTTAAAAACTTCCAAATCGGTTTGGTGAATCTTCCGATTCCAAGTAGCCGTAAAATAGTTCTAATTAATCATTCAGAGAACTACACTCAGATCATTCGTGAGCATACCGGAGGCTGTTACGTCTGTTTATAAACACACAACGCTTCTCCCATTTAAGCAAAAACAGCACCAACAAAAACAAAATAAAAACGCTCAAAGTAATGATCACAAGTAAGAAAACAACACACCGTTGAATAAAACTTCCAAGTGATAGAAGGACCCAGTCTCTCACTTCCGTTTGCTGACCTTGACTGTGGAGACCCTCAAACACCTGATCAGTAAGCCATAACAATTAAAACACGAAAGCCATACACAACTAGCAGTTAAGTTAAATTCTATTCATGTATGAGTGGTCTCGTTTACTGTAATTTCTTCTTGCATCATCTTTCTATGGTCTTTCAGTAATAGGTGAAGACATGACTGGTCGTTACACATTACGTGACAGTTCAATATGACCAAATATTTTTCACACTGACATAAGTAATGTGGCTTCATCTGGTAATATGTGAAAAAGGCTTCCAATATACGTCGTCCCTTCGAAGATATCTGAACGAACATCAAGGTAAAGGCGTGCGCAAGATTCAAAAGTTTCAATCAAACGACAACAACATTTCCTAAGTGACTGTCTAAAGCAGACTCTCTTAAAGGTGAACCACTCGCACAAGAGGTAGTGAAAATAAGTGGGCGGATACGCCCGAAACAAAACCTCCCATGCAGATGTTCGTTAGTCTCGTCACTCACATATTAAACATGGGGCGACGAGCCGACAAAACGATACAAGAAAAGAAGTCATCTGGACTAGAACATCCAGCACATTACATGTACGTACCTTAAACAAGACTTGAGCCATAAGCTCAGGATGTGGCTGCTGACTGGAAAGAAACTCTCCTATCACTTTGTTCATGATTTCCTGTGCGGGGAAGAAATCAAGTAACAGAGGCGGCAAAACTCTGGCCACAACTCTCGCCTCGGATGGGACGCCTTTTCGTATCCTGTACATAAAAAAATAATACATAGAATTTTGTAATTTGAGTCCAATAATAGTCTTGCACTTAGTGGACCGGAGAGGAGGAACGAAAAAGGACAAGCAGCGTGGTAGACCCTGTTCCAGACTAGAGCATGAGCATAAGTTTAACTGTTGAAAATAATTTTTAAACCAACCTGTCAAAAAGAACCGTGACACGTTCCATGGCAATGAGGAGTATGTCTTCCGTGGGAAACTCCACAGTGTCAGGCTGAGGGTAGATTCCACTCGGTCGATCTCCAATTTTGCCTGTAAAACACAAAATATCATCAAGTCTTGAAGGAAGGCGCTATGCCAGAAAAAAAAAGGTCGGAAAGTTCCCTACCTGTGTACATGCATGTGATCAATAAACTCAGTGCAGATATGGCTCTTTGAGGGTTTTGCATAGACAATCTGTAACAAAAAGGAAGCATTATATGCCTTTTCTGTCCTGATGTTCAAAACTATGTCAAACATCAATTGCTCAATAGGCCATTTCCGAATTACCTTTAGCCTCTTTCTCAAAGCGAGTCTTCGTGCCCCTCTTTTGTAATGAAAATGAGGTTTCATTAATATGCAAATTAAACTCATTTTCATAAATGGTCGTGCACCACGCTTCGCTTTGATAGGAAGGCTTAAAGCAACTCGAAAATGCACTATTGCGTGACTCGTAGTTAAGGAATAAATTCACCTGGTTAATTGGGAAATTGATTTCACATTTAGGACTTTGACTACGGGTTGTTTCATCCCACATCAGGGCCAAATCTAGCCCTAATCTAGACCTTATTAGATCTCATCTGTTTGCTTTGTTATATTCTTTCCTTTTTGACACGAGAACACGAGCGCAATCGAGAAAGAGGAGCCCGTGAACAAGACTGTCACAAGTTATAATTGACCCACCCGACCCACCTGTCGACGCTGAGTTTCACCAGTGAATCAGACTCTGCACTTGACAGCGCAAAGGACACCACCAGTCTCTCCAGTCCTCTCATGATAGTGTGATAAACACAAGTGGGAGTGCTGTCCTCGTTTGAAGACGCGATACGAACAGCAGTCTGGAAGTCAAGTAACAACAAAACAACAATACGACGATAAATGAAAACAGACCTTTCAAGAAAATACTTTTACATCTCTTACAAGAAACAGTTGTACTGCATCACAGTTGGAGGCTATCCTTCCTAGAATCAATCGGGTTTCCGATTCTTATCCGCCAGTCAAGAGTCACGTGAACGAAAATAAGTCGGATTAAGTCGGCATGACGTGAACGGGATACATGTTAATAAGCAACCTCTCAGAGGAAAAATGAAAGCGTCAAACGATTCCTGAGGACAAAAGCTCGACCTAAAAACTGCTTATCCCAGGTAAAGTGAAGTGTTTAGTTCATTGTAAGCTAGGAAATGATAAAAAGGTAGCAAAAACAGTGCGAGAGGTTGCATTAGGCAATCGGATAATGTACTATTTTCTAACAATTTTATCACGCTTAAAAGCTAACATAACCAATGTACAGAAAAACTAGTCTTTAAATTCTTGATTTATATTTCATTATTTAACAAATAAGGAAGATTAAGCTGTGTATTACACTGTGATAAAACACGACGGCCATTTGAGAACACAAGGCTTAGACTTCTTCATTTGCTTTATGAAATAGGCGAAAAACAATAAAACACGCTTTTTCTATGTTTTATACTCTGATTAAACATGGGGTTTTGACCAATCAGAGCGCGCGGGGGGTCCTATCTATTTTATAATGTATGACAAAGTAGAACTAACAAGCAAGGGTTGAAAACTCCATAAACTAAGCCGAACCTCGTGAAAGAATGGGATTTGGTTTGAAAATGAAAACAAATGGTAGTAACCGTTATAAGAGCATTGTACCTTAAGGAGGTTAGCCTTCAATTCTTGGTCACTGATTTCATCAGCGTACCTCTCCAGCAAGTAAAATGCTGTAGACCACATGACTAACAAGTGATGCTCCGCTAAAGAAACCGTACTGAAAGAGAGTGTAAGACAAGGTTAAAAGCAGTGCAACACAAGGAATGGACATGGCTTGTGGGTTAAAACAACAATGAGAAAACGAATGATGCTCGCGCGAAACTGAACGTTTCAAGAACAATCCAAGTAAAAGATCAAACGAAGAAACGTTGCACAACAAATAATTTTCCTGTTACCCCGTCAAAGCAGTAAGCTTCTTGCTGAGAAAGTCGGTTAGGACTGGCAACAACACAGCACCAACAGAAGCCACGTGAATCTCCAACAAATACATTGCACCATACAGAGCGGAGATCTGCGGGATATATGCAGGAGAAAGGTAACTGACAGAGTTGGCATACAAGTATATGAGTTGACTCTATGGTCGACCTCGTTTTCAAGATAACAGAAACCCTGCGAACGAGGTTATCGCTCAGTACGTAAATTGGCCAACGGTTACATTCAAATGTTTGCCTATTTCCATCTTACGTAAATTTGATCTTACGTAAATTTACGACGTATTTGATCAGAAGTTTAATCTATTTTAGAGTTTATGTACAAGATAATCGCCTACCAATGCACAATCTAGCCCCATCCCCAACCCTTACTGTCACCCAACCCCTAGGACACAACGAGAAAAATATAAATGAATTTATAGCGACAATGCCGCTTAATGCACGACAAACCGCAGGAAGAAAGCTAAACCAAGTTTGGATAAAAAGAATCAAAATAAAGCGTGTCGTCTCTTTAAATTTCTATCGTGAGGTTTTGATACCACGTGTGCTAATCGAAATGAGTATAACATGCACAATGGTACTCCGGTTACTTACATAACAGGTAACGAAGTTATTTACCTGAAGAGGCACGTGCGGACTTCTAAGCGACGATTCTAATATCTTGCACACTCTTTCAGCAGTGGCACCTTCCTGGAGGGAGATGACAACAAAATATGATTTCAAATCAATTTTCCTTGGCTCAAAACCAATCAGTAAGAGGTTAAAAACTGAACAAACATAACAATTGTAGTCAGCATATAACTTCCATCATAATGTCAATACAATGAAAACTTTGTTTATACAAATATATTATAGACTGTAGTAAAGTTTCCACATTAACCGGTTAATTTAAGAGAAAATATTTACAGAGACAATATAATGGCAATTTTGCCGCATTTTTGGCCAATACAATGCCAGAATTATGACTTATTGAATTGCTCCGTAATTTTTGACAGAACTAAACAACTATTTCTTTGTCTTTTGTTTTATTTTATTTTAATTTTTTTTTTTTCACTTTTGGAAGTTATGCACCTTACACTGCCCCTTTAAGATAGAGATTAAACGGGTGTTCGTAAACTGAGGTTTACCAGTACATGTACATAGACGTGAAGGCAAGTGACAAGAACGGAGAAAATCGTAAATTAAACTTGAGGACATTGTTTTGATGTTCCACTGAATTCTTAAAACCAACATCAAGATATTAAGACGAAATCCGATAGGAAACCGAGCAATTTCAGTTTTAAGTGGACACCTGGCACCAGAATACTTTTAAGTACATCACTGTAATTGTAAAAGTGTTTTATATGAATTTCAAATGTTGTTTTCGACATTTAGTGTTGACAGAAATGATTTCTTTTGAGAACAATTTAAAACAGTCGCACGGAGGTTTACAATGCTATGTAAATTACTCGAACTTCTGGTAGATTCCTTCTTAATGGCAAACCAGGAGGAGAATTAACGTATTGAGCTTGGGAGTGGTACGAAGGTCGCTGGTTTCTCACCGTCTTAAGAAAAGCTAGTGCTTTGCAGAGTGTAGGCAGCAGATATTGTATCAACAGATCATTTTCCGTGGAATGATTGTGATGCAACTCAAGGAGAGTTTCTAGAACCCATTCAAAATGCGTTCCATCGACAAACAGGTCCGACAACACTAGGAGCTGTTGAAAATACAAACAAATATCATTGATATCAAAAAACAAAGATTGAAGATCAATACACGCGCTACCAAACTACGTGCTAGTAATAAATGTGCACGTAACACAGCCCAATAATGCATGCTTCTAGCATTAGTAATGATCATGTTCTGAAGCTTAACTTCGGCAGAGAAATTCATTTCAGTTGGTAATGTTGTCAAACAATTGATTCATTTAGCTGTGCACCATAGTTATGATGCTCTCAAGAAGATTAGAAGCACAAACCAAGCGTCTTTCGTCCTCTCCAAACTTCCTACGAGCATCACAACTACATGATGTACGCTAAATCATAAAATCATCTGCTAATGCATTAAGATTATTTGTATATTAAGCGCAAATTCCAAATGAATACATGTTTGCAAGAGAGGATGATCTAAGAGCGTGATTCCCATTGATTTCCATTCCTCTTGACATGAATGAGACAACTTTACAACAATCACTAATCACATAGTCAGTAACCATCACCACTCCACAACTCACCGCTTTGGTTGCCTCTGACAAGAGTGCAAGAGGAGTTCTGGGTTGGATATACGGTGACATCCACTGCTCAAAAAGCTCGAGGAGAAACTGCTCACAAGATTTGATGTCAAGTTTTTCAGGTTGAGGTATGCGCGGTAGGGACACTACAACAGCACTGTCGTCTTCGCTGTCGTACCTTTCTTGGAGTTCGTTCTGGGCCTGACTATGGAGAGCACCCACAGAGATCTGGTACACACAAACAGAAAAACAACAAACAACTAAGATACGCTTCTGTTAAACGTTTTCCAATCCGCGTCTAGTTTGCGAAGGATCTTTTTACATCCTTGCATAATACTACTAAGTCATCTGTTTGCGCAAAAATAGTAAAACAATTACCCTCATAGTTAGACAATCTCCTCAAAAGGTTTATTAACACATTAACGCTTAGTCTGTTTGAACAGCACAAGTGCCTTGTTTACGTCATTCTGCGTATAAACCACTTAACACGGTATTTAACGATTATCACTTTCTCAATCTCCCTTGTTCAATGCAATATAATTTCAAGACGGACACAATTTCTCATAATTGGATGACTTTTCAATCCAGGAGCTCTCAGGAAAGGAGGTGTCACGTCCACGTTATGTTACCTGTCCTAAAGTGTAGTCATGGAAGCCCAGCACGCGATCGATATTCAGTCCATAGAGCGGGTGATCAAACAGCATTCGATTGGTGATCCACATGCCGCTTGAGCTGTTCAAACACAGGAAACTGTTTGATCGATGAATACTGGCGGACCGTTCCGGCCTTAGTTCTTCATCAGAGATGAACGTCTTGCCCGTTCTAAAGACAAAAAAAATTCACGTTAGTACGACGTAGTTACAGGAGGCGACTGTCTGAGAGTTCAGGTTGTTACCATACTTTATCTGTCTCTCGTACAATGTTCAAGAACACTCAAAAAGCTGGAGCTCTCGAAGGTGACTAGATCAACTCTTAGCGTTGTTTTATGATCTCCAAACGTCCCGCGTGCATCTTAACTCGATGATGCACGCTGAGGCATGAACCAACTGTGAAATAGTCACACAAAAGCCTTGTGTAAAGGTTCTTGTGGTTGTCATTATGCCTAACAAAAATCAAAAAGCAAAACCCAATGATTCATGTGCTCTACAGTGAGGAACCTTAAACCAAAAATAGAAAACTGAGGATTAATTAATTTGTACGTGGGGGTTGACAATTTCTCGCGTTCTCAGCGCGGAAAAGTTTGCATGAGCTGTATTAAATAAGGAAACATACTTGATGAAATCTCACAAGGTTACCCGTCATATAGATTCTTTACCAGCTACTTCATATTAACTAAGACACGCTGCGATTTTCTTACCCTGTACAGCACATAGCGACAAATTCTTCTTCTACCATGCCTCTGACAAAAGTAAGTTTCTTCCCTGCCCTGAATGTGAATAAACGGACAAAAAGAATTAAACGCATGTTAACACAGTTTCAAGTGCTTGTGAGCTAGAGTGGCACTGACAGATAGCACCCAATACGGCTATAGGTGGTAACACAAACCGTTCACAACGACTCTACAAGTAAAATTAAATTTTTTGACTCTACTAGGTTTCGTATTAAAATTCAGCAAGTTGCTTGACGGCTCAGATCATCCAAAAATTAAGAGAGCTTCGCCACGGAGGGCGCATCGTGAAACGATTACACTATATTTCTCAACCTAAATGTTCGTCAGTCACAATCCAATCATGTAATGTTACCCAACTGTGATTTCCTTTTTCAAGAATTTCGCGATTTGGGAAATTTTGTATATCGCAAAACACTGCTTAGTAAATGATGAAAGCTCCTTCAAACCTGATGGCTAATGTTATTAGTGGTAACATCATTACGATAATACCCAAAGTATTCAATTTCCTTGTGATTCAATAGAACTTTCTCCAAGGTCTGGATTCCCTTTGCATTCACATCACAATCGAGTCATGTTAAGGAAAAACTCTTCTTTCATCCGCGACCCCACTCCTAAACTAACTCAAGTTAATCGCTCAATTAAAGGAGATACTTAGAATTCACACCTGCTTCCAAGGAAAGGCAGGTCTCTGTGTCTCGGTCTGTGAAGATAACAACTCGCGGTTGGGTTTCCTGGGACTGGGTACAAGGTTGTCTGAAGCAGCAGTTCTGAGATACAGCGGACTGCCAAGCAGCAGGAATGTGTGGACTCCATATCCTCCTAGAATGCAGCAAATATTTGCAAAGCTACATTTCACTCTCTTGGTCAATTGTAAAGAAATTTGTTCATCATAGATCAAAGACCCAATTTTCGCCCTTGCTCGCCATAGAGTCTTCAGTAACTCAGTAGTTAGAACATCCGACTAGATCACGGACGGTCGTGGGTTCAGACTCGGATTTTTTTTTTTTTCCTATCATTTGATAGGTACTAAGGTCATCAAAAATGGTTGAAATTCCTCTGACGAAAGCTAACACGGGAAACGTTAGAAGCTGAACTATCCAAAGGACAACAAAATCTGGTTTCCTTTTCTTCCGAACATCTGTCTTGCTAAGATTGATTGACAACTGTCGAGTGATAAGCGAGATTGGTCAGCGCACATTTGTAAAACAGATTCTACAAACTAGTTTACTGGAGCCATCTCAACTGGGTCACAGTCAATCATTTTGGTCTATTAACGATAGCCCTAAAAAGATGCTGCAACAGGTAACACGCTGAATTACCATAACAACAAGCTAATGCAAAACTATCCACCTCAAAGCTTATAATACGAGTTGAAAAGACGTTTCTTGCTAATCTGGAGGGATTTGCCACAAGTGGCGTTGTTGACAGACGGATTGCAAAACATTTAACTGTTAACATACCTCTGTGGAGACTGTATCAGGCAAAGGAGGAGAACTAATCACCCCGAGAAGAGCAGCCCATGTTTCTTCAAACTGCTGTCTGGAAGTCCAGCCTAGAGTGAGTGAATAATATTGGAGGGAGTTCAATACCACCAGCAGCTATCTGTTGTGCTTTATAGCTGCCAATCTTTACTGTGCCTCACATTGCAGTAACTTACTGATCAATTATAATTATTTTGCTCCCACAATGGGATAGAGCTCCAAAAGTCAACAACGTCAATCGAATAGGGCCTTTAATTCACCTTGTAAACGTCGTGTTAATGTTTCATTGGTGTTGTCATTCACCCAAATTTTCCAAAAAACTACATCTTGGGTCTGTGTTTTCCCTGATCGGTCATCTAGTGGGAATATCGTTTTGATTGAAACTACTCCTTTACATTTTCTAGTCTGGTACTTTAGTATTCAAGTTCTTTTGGCGGCTGGGAATAGTTCCTTTTGTGTAACCAATCAGAATGCAGTATTTTTGTCTTTCCAGCACTCTTAAAATTCAAACATAAGTTTACAGTAGATAAGGTGTCGCTTGACTCAGTGCTTACCAATCAGGTTTACTCTTCTTACAAATTCATCCAGTACATCTTTCTCTTTTAATATTTCTATTGGTAACGGGGGAAGTTCCGTTTTAAGTGCGCCCTCAGGGACAGGTACCCAACCCATCTTCCAAACCAGAGGAAGAGTGCGTGCATAGCTGTTGACCAGCGGTTGTCTCGCCAAACCAACTATTGCATCACGAAAAGGGCCAATCAGGAATTGAGGAAGAGATGATTTTCTACCAGATCCCGGCTTTAAGATGACAAGGAGGCGGTGGATCAATAGTGAGATTTCACCGCAAGCTTTCCTGGCAATTTGAATTCCTACGACGAAGAACAGGAGGTTAAGATTTAATCAAGCAGCTGGAAAGGAAAGGACTGATATTAAAAAACATTGCCACAGACTCGCGATCTTCCTCACCGTCATCGGTCACATCAATTTCGGCTTCACCAGTGAAAGCGTGTTCTTCGTGAGTGTCCGCACCACCATCAACTAAACAAATGAACGAACAAACAAACAAACAGGATGTACCCTATTGCGGAATTACGACCACAAAAAATAAACTTGCAATCAATCCTGCAAACAAATCTCATTCTACCGCGACATTGATTCTGAAAAATTTGATAGCGAGAAATAATAATCGGAACTACAATTTTCAAAAAGGAAATAACTTTGAAGGAGTCAAAGGGGAGAGCTAAGTCTAATCTACTTAATTCAATTCGAGCGAAGGAAAAATTGTCTTTACAACCTAAAAATGACAGTTTTACTAAGGTAATAGACGGTTTACTGAGAAAGATTGCGTTGAGAAGTGTTTCTACCTAATGTATGGCTTGACGATATTCATTAATGAGCGACTACAGTCAAACATACGGTTAGAGAAATATTACATAACAACTTGAATCCCACTGTTGTCTCTCTCACCTGCATTTAACAGCACATGCACGTGACTGATGGCAGAACAAACCAGCGGAAAGAACTCCAGTTCTCCAACGCTTTTACAGCAATCAAGATTAAGAAACTGTCATTGAAACGAGTGTGAAGCGTATCAGACTAAGAATGGTATACTACTAAAATCTTGAAACTAAATCAACCGAGTTTGGCTGGCTACAGCTATGAAAGCCATCAACCGACGATCCCAAGGTTTCTTCCGCATGACTTTTATCAATAATAAGTTCAACGACACTGATTACTAATTAATTGCGATCTTGAACCTTTCATCGTCTCTCGGGCTTTACAACATGTCTGTGGTTTGTGTCATCTATTGAAGGGACAACGTCATCAACTGGTGCAAGTCGAACTCGTTAAAACACTTTATCTCAGCCGCCAGTTGTCGAAAGTAAACGACACTTGAAGGATTAACACTAATTGGCCATTTCCGAATTACCTTTAGTCTCTTTTTCAAAGCGAGTCTTGGTACCCATCCTTTCATATGAAAATAAGATTTTATTCACATGCAAATCAAACTCATTTTCATATGAATGATTGTGCACCAGGCCTCGCTTTGAGAATTAACTGCAGTTTTCCATAGTGTACAGCGCACTTCTCAAGTGACTATCTAGTCTTGATGTAGGGCAGACAGACATTGTTGTTCTCTAATCATAAAACATGTTTTTCAGGATATTTTCTCCTTCAGTCTTTAAACAAAAGTTGGCCCTAAGGTTTATCTCAGATGTATTTCGTTGGACACTGGATTACCTTAGCAAAACAATCGAGGTGAGACTTAAGTTCTGAGGAACATGGGCGTTTTCCATTCACGAAGTTGCAGTGCACCATCTGCCAACACAATAATAAAAAAACAGACCTTAAATGTAATCTAATGGAGTACTTCCACACCATCAACTATAGGACAATACGACAGTTGATAATCTCTAATAATTAACTTATTCATTGCAGTTAAATGCAATTTAACGGAGTCAATAACAAAGAGTGTAGCAGTTACCTTTGTGGTCAGTTGCGTTTAGATAAGGTATGTACAGAGATTCCATGTGCATGACCTCAACCGAACACGTATTTTCTAGTGATATGCTAATAGAATGAAAAACTTCCAGATGCACTAAGACAATTGTTTATCCCATGGCATGCTACACCATTTAATGTTACGAAACTAGCCAGCAATCGAAATGTCACACTGAACATAGCTTTGGTAGAAAAGTTTCGTGCACAAACTAAAACTTTCATTTCAGCTTACTCCTACAAATAGCTATTACCTGGCACTGCATAAACAGCACTCACTTGTAAAAACAATTAGTCACAATCCTCCGTAGGAAAAAAGATGGCGACTGTTACATTTACCCATTTACCCAAAAGTTCTAAAATTTTCAAACCTACTAGCATACACAATGTCGTTAGCACAGGGACAAATATTGCAAAAATGTACAAAATGTGCAAAATATTGTACTTCGTGGACTGTGCAAGGCTCGTATGGTATTGCGGTAAAATGTACAGCCTTTTTCGTACGGAGGATTCACACGCACTTGTGATAATGTGCAAATAGATTCTTACCGCCAGCGGAACAAACACAAACTGTAAAAGAGCTTCTTGTCCAGACTCCGGTATTTTACAATGTCTAGGAAGCGTAGGAATGGCACTAACTAAGGACACGAGAGCTCTGGCGAGACAGGTGACTTTCTTGCACCATTCGGCGTCATTACAGAGAGCTGACAGCCGGTCAGGAGCCAGATAGAAGCATTGTATTCTAGAGGAATTTTCACTGTCTGGAATTAAAACAAAGGTGTAAGTTAACAACCCTTTAAAGGAACCACGTCACCGCTTATGCGTCTTGAAAGGTTAGCCTAAATCTTTCAAGTTCGTCGTTTGTAATCCGTATTAATCTTCTCCATCCTTAACCATCTTTGTTCCCTTATGGTTAATTATTATCTCTTTGGTGTTCTTCTATCTTAGTAAATTACTATTTTCAGGTTTCCCTCAATTTGAAGGTAATTTTGTACGTGGCCAAAATAACTCAAAATGCCGTGACTGAGCACCTTTAAGTAGCAGGCCGTGATCATGAGCAGCAATTCTCCTTACTCTTCGTTCTATTTTTGTTCTGAGAAATTGGTGGTATATCACGACAATATTCCCTTGTTGACGATTCTCTAATTTCTTCTCATCTGTCTTTCTGACAACGTATTTAGCATTGTGCGGACAAAAATAAATTGCTCGCTAGTCACAACTGGGAATCAAAAGAGCTGAGTCACGAATGATGCACCCTCCTTTTTTCTACTTAGTTCTTCGAACAGTTGAACCCCGCTATCTCTCGAACTCTTAAAAGGGAAAGGAAAACTAGCACGAGATGGCGGAGGTTCGAGACTGGCGATAGTAAATGACTTTAAAGAATATCCAAAGGAAAATGATTTGAATTCGAGACAGCGAATAATTCAACAAAACCTAGTTCGACATAGCGAGGTAATTTCCACCTAAATTATCAAACAAAGACAATTTACCGAAGGTTCAACCGTAAATCCATTTCAGTTTTCCCGGTGGCTGTTTATATCCTAGCAAACTATTATTAATAATTTTCCAGACTCGAAGGTCATGTTGTACGTTACAAAATTGCAGGAGGTTACACGCTTTGACTAATCAGAATAGGTGTTGATTCCTACCTCTGAAAGTCCGAGTTCTAATGATATCCTTAGCAACTTGACCCATTTGGGAGAACAAAGTTAGTTTGGAAACCAGCAATAAATGATCCATGTCTGTGTTCTCAAAGTTTTCTGTATTGCTGTATAAAGCACTTGCTGCTCCCTGAAAAGACAATGGAAAGACAGGTTAGTTTTTCTTAAAGCACCATGCATGGCCTAAGGAAGAAGATAACTGGAACCTCAATATCTGAATTACAAGATATGCAGGTTATTGACGAAGCGCGAGGTTGGTAAGACACAGTAGAGGTCGATAAGGTAAAGGTAAAGTCAAGTCTTCATACGAGCCAAGTGGCTCAGCAGTCTGGAGTTTATCCCGGTTTCAGCAGCATGAAGCAACTAGGAGTATTTCTACTCTACGCTGGATGGGGTAAGTAGAGGACGGCCAAGGGAAACATGGCGGAGAACTGTGGAGAAGGAACGCGCTGAGCTGGGACTTACATCGTGGGCCGCAGCAGCAGCCGTGGCCAAGAATAGGGACAGATGGCGAGCATTGATCTCCGGCCCTGTCCCCCACTCGGGGGCAAGGAACTAAGCTGGATGGGATGCTAGTTCACTGCAGGGTTACCCCCCAGCATTAATTTCGCCGGTACCCATTTAAACCTGGGTGGAGAGAGGCACCGTGAGAGTAAAGTGTCTTGCCGAAGAACACAACACAATGTCCCCAGACAGTGCTCGTACCCAGGCCTCTTGCTCCAGAGTCAAGCGCACCAACCATGAGGCCACCGTGCCTCCCACAGAGGTCGATAAACACCCGTAGAAAAGAACCACGCCAATGGGTCCATAAACACGCAAGAAAAGAACTTGGTTCAATATCCAGCCATCTTGACCACACAGGCTTGGTCAATAAAGGATTTATTATATGGCTTTCGAGGAAATTTTTCTTGCGGGACACATCGGGTTGTCCCGAGCAGGCAAGATGGCGCAGGATTTGGTTCACCTTGCCCGCTCACGGAGCTAGCCATATAATCAAGTCACATAATAATAATTACTACTTCCAGTTTAATCACGTCTGAATTGGTTATTACCATTGCCTAGAAGAAAATCACACATCTCCCCGTTTCATTCCCAGTTGTCTTGTTAAGGGCGGGACGATATACCTTCAGCAAGCACGGGGAATCAGTGGAGAGAGAGCTTAGGAATATACACCGTAAAGTAAAACGTACCTCAGTATTATGTCTTCGTGCAGATAACATTAGTGTCCTTTCTATGCCACGTAGAACGCATTCTTCAAGGAGTGAAAGGTCAAAGTCCTTGGATTAATTAAGAATGGTATGTCATCAAATACGAAATGTATGATAAAGAATAAGATCCATGGCCACATCGTCGAACATAAATTTGTTAATCAGAGAAGGGATTATTTTGATCATTTCCTTCACCAAGGTGTTAGCTAGTAAAGAAACTGCAGGAATTTGATTCACTTTTGAGTGCCCAGGTTAGAAACTTGGCTGAGAAAATAGAGTGTGTAATAAGGGGCAACCAAATAAGTGCATAATTTAATTTACAGTTAAAGCATCACGTAGGGTGTATTTATCTTCTAAAGGAAGAAAACCAACCTTATGATTTACAATGTCAGAGACTTCTTTGCCATCCAAAACACTGAGCATCTCAATGGCTTCATGTGGCATGTTGGCTTTTGCCTTCTGGTCCTTTGGATGACCAGCAAAACAACACTGCTGTGCTAGACGACAAAACCACTCCTGTTGAGACAANAAGTCACATAATAATAATTACTACTTCCAGTTTAATCACGTCTGTATTGGTTATTACCATTGCCTAGAAGAAAATCACAAATCTCCCCGTTTCATTCCCAGTTGTCTTGTTAAGGGCGGGACGATGTACCTTCAGCAAGCACGGAGAATCAGTGGAGAGAGAGAGAGCTTAGGAATATAAACAAAGTAAAACGTACCTCAGTATTCTGTCTTCGTGCAGATAACATTAGTGTCCTTTCTATGCCACGTAGAACGCATTCTTCAAGGAGTGAAAGGTCAAAGTCCTTGGATTAATTAAGAATGGTATGTCATCAAATACGAAACGAATGATAAAGAATAACAAGATCCACGGCCACATCGTCGAACATAAATTTGTTAATCAGAGAAGGGATTATTTTGATTATTTCCTTCACCAAAGTGTTAGCTAGTAAAGAAACTGCAGGAATTTGATTCATTTTTGAGTGCGCAGGTTAGAAACTTGGCTGAGAAAATAGTGTGTGTAATAAGGTGGCAACCAAATAAGTGCACAATTTAATTTACAGTTAAAGCATCACATGGGGTGTATTTATCTTCTAAAGGAAGAAAACCAACCTTATGATTTACAATGTCAGAGACTTCCTTGCCATTCAAAACACTGAGCATCTCAATGGCTTCATGTGGCATGTTGGCTTTTGCCTTCTGGTCCTTTGGATGACCAGCAAAACAACACTGTTGTGCTAGACGACAAAACCACTCCTGTTGAGACAAAAAGAACAGGATTAGTCCGTTTATCGAAGAAAAAGAGCAGATATTATGTAACAATGTAAAATATCCTTTTTTCTGTCTCTNAGACGGTTAGTAAAAGCGCTCGAAACGTATTCGAAGTAAAGTGGATAACTTCGGAATACTACAATGTAAAGTTTCTGAATAAAGGGATCAAAAGTGTCATAGGCTTTATCGGTCAAGAGTTTCCACCATGCGCCACAGCGGTCAATTCTCTCACCACAGGCATAACCACTTTGTAGGGCCAGATCAGCATCAAATATACAGCTAGTTGAAGGTGCGTGGCTAGACGTTACTTTCAGCAAGGAAATAAGCTACTGCTATAAGAAAGAAAATATGCTAAAAGAAGGGTTCTTTACCGCCTTCTGTCCAGCAATGTACATCTCCAGCTTCTTGCAAATCAGACGTTCTGCCATCCTCGCAACAGACTGATGAGAAGAGCTTAGAAAACACTCGGCCAGTATCTTCAAAAGGTAAAGGGATTGCGACTGGTGTACTCCCTTTAAACAGCACAGTATATCCTTCATGTGGCTTGGCTGAAGAAAAAAGTTTGATGAAGTTGTAAAATTACTAACAACTAAATAGAAGAAGAAAGGAATTTGCTTAGTATTTGCAGTTCTGGGACACCCCTAAAATCGGTTGCCGCAACCGTAAAGGCCTCCAAATTTTCGGGGTTTAAATTCACTTTTGTTTCTATTTCTACAATTGCTACGGAGCACCCTATGAATTTGTTTTACAGAGGAGTATCACATCAAATATAACGTACAAGTTTCCAGAAAACCACTATTCAACAGGTTTCACTTAAATTTTCACATAACGATTTCATTCGAGGACTTCAACATTACATTCAACATTACATTCAACAGCATATAAAAGTACATGGCTTCCATTTGAATTGTCTTATATCTGCCTTTACATCAGATAATGTCTATCTAGGGCTTATATCACTATTATTTGTTTTTCAAGTCACACATACCTGCTTCATTGTTTCAAAAAGAGACTTATAAGACATGACCGAGTCTAACAGGAGCTTGCTTCCCTCTTGGGTGCTATACAAAATGCTAGAAGTAAATAATATAATGAATTAAGTTCCAACAAAGTCGAATATTTTCTACCTTTTAACCAAGTACTGACTGCTAAAACGTTTTCTATCTTCATAAACAGACTTAACAAATCCAAAGGAAATTCTAATCTCACGACTAAATGGGTAAAGCACATTAGACTAACTGCTTACTTAAGAAATCCTTGAATGGGTGGCTCCTCTGCCATTTGCACTAGATCCTCAAGGGACATCCTCAGCAGGGTCCCTGCTTGGGACAGGTCTAATGCTCCTTGCTCCTAAAGGGTACAAACGTTCACTTACTACCTCCTTATTGAAGTTTATTGGCTTTAAAATTTCCACCAAGGAAGGAAGTAAGTCAAAGCTTAGTCTAACTGTTCAAAACAGAGGATTGCAGGTTTGTTCCACTGATTTTCCACGTTTATAATCGGCAAAAGAGACATAAGCTACAAAATTTAACAACATGTTTTATAGTCATGGGGCACCACGCAACTCAATTCAATTGGTAAAGAACAGAGGTACATACCATGTGCTGTGTTATGAGAAGATCACAGTAAATCAGTAGCACTCCCATGCAAGATACATCTTTGTTCATTGTTGGACCTTCCAGTGAAACATCACCACCTGAAGCTGCAACAAAGATGGCGAGACACATTGGGTTGTGTGGGTTGGTTTGGTTTGGATTGGGTTAGGTTGGATTGGAATGGATTAGACTGGTTTGGATTGGATTGGAGTAGCAAAACTTGCATTCAGATGCCACAAATAAGCACTCACTGGATACTACTAGCATTTTTCTTACCAGTGCTCAAACGTGATCCTGTGTCAAGAAATCCACACCAGAAGTGCGAGTCCATGTACTTCAGTTGTCTTAGCACCTGACACCACTGTAGGACCAGAACTGGGTGGGTGTCCACAAGATGAGCCACACTTTCATTGATATACTCTACAGATGGCTGAATGATAGGGGACGAGGACGCTACCTGGGACACTTTCTTAAAGTTTGCTGAAACAATGGACAAGAATAAGATTGCCTCACTCTAAACACCTCACACAATTCGATAAAAATTGACGAGGTTCAAAAGCCGCTCCACATATGTGCTGAACCTGATAAATTTGAGTTCGACTTTGAAGCAGCTTTAGAACGACTGCTAATTCACTCAAAGTGATTGTTATAGTGATTGATACCATAACAAACCTGATTTCAATAGATGTGTTAGGCATGTCAAAATGCAACCAAACAGCTTTAACAAGAATACTTCTTCACTTTGTGATCCTAAATTTACAAAGGAACTTCTCGTTACCGTATTAACACGGTTGGCAGTCATTTCAACGACGTGAAAGAGAAATTTGACAAGAATCTGCAAAGTGAAAAAGAGAAACATATAAATCTTGTGAGCTTTTCGTTGCAACGATATAAGAAAAAATATACCGAATCTTTTATTAAGGGTAAGGCCTTTCATAACTGCGGCCAAGAGACGTAAATCCACCATGAAGGATTAAATTTAAATAATTATTTATATTTTTCTTCATTTCTTTGCACGTGGCTTTAACATATCCAATTGTGACAGTTGCATTTTGCTGGCCAAGGCAATTTACTGATTTGTTTGCTTTTTACATTTTTAGAGAATTTAAGTCTGAAAGAAATTCCAGAGTCATCTAAAAATATTTTTCTCTGGACGATTTCTCGCACAGATTAGCAACTTAATTAAGGTGTTAACGACAGTTGCTTGAGACATTAGACCCACCTCTATGGGTAATAAAGGTTTATCAATCATATTGACACACTTGGGTCTAAATCCCGATTGGTCAATTCTTGACAACAGTATATCTTCCGTGACTTGTGCCATGAGAGTTTGTAGCACAACAAGAACTGTGGCCAGCCAACGGCCGAATGCAGCCAACTGAGTCTATAAAAGAAAAAATTGGAAAGAAAAAGATAAGCAAAATAATTGGCATGTTTATCCGTAGTTTATCTTATATGATCGTCTCGGACAAGGAAGACTTACAGACTGTTNAAGAAGAGGAAGCAGTAGATCTATAATTTGTCCTGACAGGTCTTTCCACTTCACCTCCTCTCGCTGGTAACAGTTAAGAACAGTGACCAACATCTCTAGCACCTATGTATATTGGAATATCCAACAAAACTCACATTTTATCTCCTTATTACCTACAGTTGACACTAACCTGAACTGTTCAGTCAAGGAATTCAGTGATCAACAGTCTGTGTCTGTCCATCTGTTTGTCTGTCTGTCTGTCTGTCTGTCTGTCTGTCTGCCTATCTGTCCGTGTCCGTGTCCGTTTCTGTATCTGTCAGTCGGTCGGTCGGTCGGTCAGTTGGTCTGTTCGTCGGTCAATCAATCAGTTGTCCATCAATCAGCTGGTATTTTCCTACCTCAGGATAATGGACCAAGCGAAGTAGCATAGACACCACAACTTCTCGTTGTGTTTCGATATCTTCTCCAATGCCACTCTTGCCAGCACCTCGCAGTACAAACAAGTCGTGGACTATTGGCTGTAAAGCTGGAATACCTAAAAACATAACCATCCCACTTTTAGGATATTAGTTACTAGATTTGAGGCAAACGGACACGACATACTCGAGTCCAACCAAATATATTTAATAAAAGAAATTGCTATGTTAAGATTTACAACGGGGAATGCTTTTACTTAATGTAAATGCCATTATCTTAAAGAAGTGTCCCACAATACCCACTTTTTAGTCTCCTTTTGGGGGAGGAAATGATGCGTGATGACCTAAAACGATGGCTGTGAAGGAGAGGCTTGCAGATTCTCAGGCCGTCTTTACAGAACAACTGAAGGGTAGATGGTGAGTTATGAATCGGATCTATGTGGTTAATACCTAAACACAAAGGGCTTCAAGAAGAAGAGGTTGTTGTAAAAGAATATGACTACTGTAGATAAAAATGTACCATGAGTTTGAGCTGGCTGCCCTCCTGCCATGATACCATCACAAAGCTGGATTATTCTCGGCATTCCCACAATGGCTTTAGCTTGATTAAACTTGGGCTGAAAGCACTCGTATGACAGTAATACAAGAAACTGGAAGATGTGTGGAAGGAACGTGTCACAGGATCTGTTGTTGGAAGAGAGTGCAAGGGTTAAGGGTTAAGACAGAAATGAGTCATGCCATCAATACTTCCCAGCCCCTAACGAAGCTACCTTCATTTGATTTGTTAAGAGTAGCTTTTACTCTTACATTCTTAAACCACTGATGTCACAATACAATCCGAGAGAAGTTTCTTGGCATATCAAAAATTAGACCTGTACCAATTTAGACCTGCTACCGTAATTAGACCTGCTACCGTAAATACTCGCTCCCGTTTGGTTGGAAGCGGATGAATTTGTCCCTAATTGAATCAATAGCTGAACAATTAAGTCTTAAGTGTATCAATCGCATTTAAGCAATGGAGTCAGCTCTTGGTAATGAAAGCGAACAGGTCCCAGATGAAACTTGAAGGCTTTGCCATACATGTAAAGTCCGATTTGTAAAGTTAGAAAACTAACATATTTCATCCCGTGGCTTCATTTTAGCAACCCTCTATGACGAAACGACGTCAGTTTCTCTGATAGAAGCTTGTATTTACGGTTGATTGGTCTCTTTTTTCTCTTGAAGCAGGTAGGGATTATTTGTATTTGTGAACAGATCAGACATTTTCCGATCTGTTCATGTGTACAATCAATCCCTAATTGTTTCTCAAATAGACCGATTTCCTATGCAAACGTTCATCAATAAAATGATACAGAGAACACTCACTTTATCTGCCCTGCATCAATGTATTCAAATTGCTTCTGAACATAGCTTATGAACACCTACATGAAAAAAAAAAGCAAAGCACGCACTTTTACTGGTCTTAAATTTATCAAGTCAACAAATAACTTCTCATTACTGGTCTCAATATATTTTGTGCAGGGTTGTTGGGAGAATTGTAAAGTGTCACGGCTGTAAGTCAATATTTGCCGAGTCTGTTGGAATATTCATGTACTTGCCGAAGTCAGTCGTGGCAAAAAGGGAAACACAAGGGGATTTAAGCCAAGCATCTGATTGCAGGAGCGCACGGTAATTTTGAGCAGGATGAGAAGAGATGAGCGCATTGGCCAATAATATACTAAATATTTATTTTCTTTATATAAAAAACGGTTGACACTGTGACGGTCAATTGATTTGCTCGGTGCCTGCTAATATCAAATTTAATTCCGTATTCAATTAGTTCCTATTATCTTTTTGACCTTTTTGTTATATTCAGTTACTTTTCTTTCTTTCCCGTTTTTTTTTCTCTCCGCATTGTAACAGTTCACAACCAAAAACCTTAAAATCTAAAAATTCAATCCTGCTAATCAGCTAGATAAACTCTTTTTCCCGTTCCCGTTCTTCTTCTTACGATTTTAACCATTTGTTCTAAAAAAGGTACTTAAGTTTTTGTTGTTGTTTTTGTTGTAGGGTTGTTGTTGTTGTTGTTGTTGCTTGCATCCTGCTTACCTGATCAGCATCCAGTAATGAGTAGTTCACCCTGAGTTTGATGAGCTGAGCCAACAGACTCAACACCTGCTGTTGTAAGATGACATTACTCGACATGGTGTACTCCTTCAAGGCACGGATCACTAGTGGTTCAAACCAGCGGATAAATGAATGAATGGGGGATTGCTAAAATAGAAAAGAGCAAACAATATTATCATTATTCTGTTAAAGAGATACACTGCAGATGGTACATCCAGAAAAATTTAGACCCATCCCTTTTTCAACTTCTTCATTAGCGATCTGTTATAATATTCCTAATCTTTGGCACTTTTCTATCTCAGTTAAAGCTATCTTTTTAAGTTTCCTTTAATTTCTACACTTTTCTGATTTCTATACTTCCCTAATTTCTACTTTCTCCATAAACCAAAGTTAGCACAGAAATCAATGGACAGGTATCATGATTTATGCAGTGATTATGGATTGTTTCATGCTTGCTTCCCAGGACACCACGTAGTTTATTTTCATAACTCAAATTTCACGTAACAATACTGTATGGGGAGGGTGGAACGAAAGATGGGTTGAATGACATCATACGTGAAAGAAAATATGTAATTTGGCATAGCAAAGGACCTTAGGGCAGATAGCCAAATGGTCCAAGAAGACAATTAAGGAATACAGTAAATAAACACATTTTCCACCTTGTCCAGTTTCATAGTAGGTTGAACAGAAATAGCGGCTTTTTTCCTGAGCCTTTTGATAAACACTCCAATACCTCTGTAGAAACAACAAACAAATTATTAAATTACATAGGAAAACACTTACAGGTGTTTACAAGGCAATTCTCTATTTTCCAATTTCCCGTGATTCACTCTATCATTATTTAAATGCTCTTAGGAGGTCTGCATATCACAACCATAGTTTACGCAAACTTTGAGGGACAAACAGAGTGAATCAAGAGGAATTGGAAAATAGAGAATCTCCGTAGCCGAGATGACTGTCATGGTAAATGTCACAAATGAACACAAAGACAACAAGATGATAGCCATGCTGATTGTGACAATAATGATGATCAATGAATGGCACTGAGCACTTCGAATAAACAATCATCTGATCTTTCTGAAAAAACAGGTGAATAAAAGAAGCATAAATTATACCCTAAAGAGTCTGATTCGTTTCCTTTTTCTTTAACTTCTTCCTTGGGTTTCAACTTCTCCAGCGTCTTTGTAATAATTGTTAATGGATGAATAAAACATGAGTGATAAAGGCTTTCATCCGGGGCCTTTAGCTGGTTAGGTTGTTCTGGCACTGTCACATGACTTTCAGCAAGGCAGGGAGGAGCCAAGGCATTCTGGATCAGTTCTGGTTGGCTAAGGGCATTGATACCAAACATTGCACGTAAAAGCTGTCAAAGACAAGGAAAATAATTTAAATTATTTTCCTGGTGTCGTCCTTAAAAGGACATGACACCAACATGCATTCTCTATTTAAAGGGAGAGTGATCTCTTTAATGCTATGTACAAAAAAAAAATTGTTGGTTTTTTCACATCTCGCTCACACAAACTAGACAATAAAGAGCACATCAAAATCACTCGTAGAGAAATCCTAAAGCCGCATGTGTTGTTAGGACCTAAAGATGAGATGTTTGCCAATCCGTCACTACCACAGCTAGTGCACCAGAGTGGTTTTCAATTGACTGTACAAACCAATACCAAAGTAATCACTCGGGCCAAACACAAAGAACACAGAATATCTAGGAAACCATTCAAAACTGGAAACAAATACAAGTAGCTGAAGCAAATGGTTGGAAAACATGTGCGAGAAAGTCATGACTGATTTTGGTTTTACTTCTGATTGGTTAAGAAAGTGATGCGAGGTTTTCAAAAAAATTGTTAAGAAAGCAACACACCACTGTACCACCTAATAAAACCAGACTAGCATCCTAGCCTGCGTGAAGACACGAAGGAAAGCAAAACATTGATGTCCTTGTGATGTTTCCTTAACCTAAAAAATTATAATACATGTAAGTTGCTCATGAAAATAAGCTTCCAGGCAGTTGAGTTAAATGGTTGACTACATGATTGTATACCTGTTGGACACATAAGAATGTCTTTGTTGCCTCCAGTTTCTCACAAACTTGTAGATAGCCAAGTATTTCTTCAATGTGCTGAAACAAAATAGTTTCCTCAATACAAGGTACTACGGTAAAAATTTTAAACAACAAAAATACATCACCTACTAGATCTCAACCATCTTGACAGTAGTAACAAACCTTTCCAATGTCAGCAAATGCAGTGACTTCAAGAAGAAGAGACAAAGCATCCAAGGTTGCTGCTAGGAACTGACAAAACTTGTCCTGGGCTGGACTCATCAGTGTCACCTATTGAAGGAAATGTGATATTCAAAATGCAAAATGGATGCAACAATACATTATGCAAAATAGAGAGGCCCATGGATAACTTGCAGAACATTGGGTTTTTAGCAATTTCACTTCAAATGTACCAGACATGGCAAAGAAAACATAATATTGAAATGGGTTATTGTTAACTTAACCTGTACATACCTGGAAGAAACAACCTAAGTTGACTAAAAGAAAAGTTCTAGCCTCTTTTTTCTTCTTCTTCCTCCTTTTGGTGACAGTCTGTGTGTGCATGTATCCACACACAGAAACAAGAATCCACGAACATGTACGGATAAGTGTGTGCCTGTACATGAATGAATGCACACGCACGACAAGCACGTATCATGTTAAGTAGTCAAATGGGAATCCTTTGTTTCTTCAGCAGCATTATTTTGTGTGTAGTGTCAAACAAATGACTAATTACCTGGTTGTTGGCATAAGCTCCTTTAACGATTTCATACAACTTCATGTAGTGCGGTAAATGGTGAAACATGCCAATGCTGCTCTTGGGAGGAGGGCTCTGTGTGTTTTGATCTGAAGACTCTGTAGGTTGTCCACCGCCCCCTTGGGTCTTAGATGGTGAAACAGGTTTATCTGAAGTCGCTTGGGATAAATCTGCTTCAGAAAGAGCCCGCTTAGTCTTGGTCAGTAGTCTCTTCGGAACAGTTGTAGCAGGACTGGAACCAACGGAAGCAGGAGAAGGGGTCTGAGGAGCAGCCACACCAGGAATAGCAGCTGATTGTTGTTTGTCTTTATTCTGTCCAGGGAAAGAAATCTACAGTGGAACAAACACACAGAAGCAATCAAGTCCAAGAATATGTAGAAGTACGTAATATGAAAATGTTATTCTGAATGTAACAGAGTGACTTCAAAAGTGTTCACCAAAATTTGGGATTTGCAGTTCTGATAAGACTCTTAAAATCACACTTTTTAGGTAATATTGTTCACTGTTAAAATAGATGTATATCAAAACCATTCTCATACAGAACCTAAGTCAACAAAATTGAGAATTAGAGAAATCACTCTTACATGAAGCAGTCCAGTAACCTATTGCATGGATGTAAATTTTGTTACTGTGTTTTCATGTTTAAATAAAGTTAACTGTCTATCTATCAAACAATGTTTACAGAAGTAGTCATTTACTGTACCTTAAAGGAATGAGCACCAGGAATGTTGTTCTCAACAACATGAGAAACAATGTTCAATAACCTAGAAATTATTAAATAAAGGTTTAGTGATACTACTAACAGTAGTGATGTTTAGGGCATATTGGTTTGGGTGTTGTCAGTCAGGTAGCTGCCGGTTTCGCCCCATGGCGAGTTCGCCACCACCGAGTTCGCCCCCACATCATTTTCATCTACACGCACGCACATCGACTCAACTTGATCGAGCTTGCCCCCAACCAGATCGAGTCGCATATAGAGATTATTCCTCGTTCTTTTATCCACAGCCTTAGCGAGGAAACTTCGCTTGGTGACTTCGCTCGGTGGTGAGTTCGTTGGTGGCGAGATGACCGGTAACCGTTTGACTCTGTTGTTGTGCGCGCGCCGGCTGCAACAAGCGAACAATCGTCATCTAAGCTTATCAAACATACATAGACTGAAATGGTTCTAAGAAAACGTTTAATAACTCGATAACAACTACATAAATACGAACACAAAATTTTGGGGCAAACTCGAAATAGAAATTTTATAGTGGGGGCGAACTCGGTGGGAGCAAACTCGCCATGGGGCGAAACCGGTATCATTCGTCAGTCAAACCTAGATGAATTGTGCTCTTGGGCAAGACATTTTACCCTCACAGTGCATCTCAAAATCAACTGTACACGATGTGCAAAGGTGATTTACCCTACTAATTAGTTTGCCTCATTGCTTTAAACAAAATACAGTATGATAGATTGAATAAACTTTGTGTTACGAAAAATTGTCAAGTCAATTTCTAGAACAATCTAGAACCGGAAGTCATTCAGCCGTGACCAATTAGTATAAGAACATTCCAGAACATTCTGATCCTTATGTAATTACTCAGATTAGAAACTGTGTCAAACTACTTAATTTAGTTCCAAATAGAAGTTTCTAGAACTTTAAGCCTCATGTATATTAGAGCAAGCGTTTCTTCTGTGAGAGAGATTGATTCAAATTTGAAGAAGCTTAGTGCTGTAAATTCGTGAAGTTATCTTACGGAAATAAATTAGTTTGTTGCTGTTACCAGCGATCCTGAGTTCTGTCTGGAAACAACCCTGCTCTTCAACGATACTCGTAACACTTTGTTCCACCCATCTTTCAACTGACAAACTTGAAGTCCATGGGACATCTCACGCTTTCAATATATTTATTAGTTTTGTTTGCAAAGAATGTACAATAAATTATATGGACTGTTTTTCCTCCTGCTCCAAATTGCTAGAGCCCCTGCTACATGTATATAAAAATATTCCTTTTGGAGGTCCATACTTTTCTTAAAACCTCATTTAGAAGATAGACCACTAGTGCTGAGAAGCTTAGAGTCTTACCTTGTCAAGTGGAGAATTAGTTTCTCTGCCTGGGAAGCTAAGGCACTATCAGTGAACACACTCCAGTGTTCAGCAGAACCGATAGGCTCATCTGAGGGCCCTCGCTCTGAGTGAACTTTCAGTGAAACATGGACACCACTACAGCCTGCACCAAACAGAATGTTCCCTGCAATCTGTGTAAAATACAGTAGTAATATTCACCATACAACCTCATTGTTCTGCCTTGCTTTTATAATGATAATTTATTCATGATAATGTATAAATTTTAAACTTCAACTTATTGGTTGATATTACATGATTCTGCTTTGTTGAAAAACATTTTGGTGACTAAAACTTGCCACATGTTCACATAGTAATACTTTTATATTGATCTACATAAACATAATTTCCAAAGTTTTAACTTTTCAGTTATACTTGCCATTAATAATAATAAAAATAAAAATAATAATAATAATAATAATAATAATAATAATAATAACAAATGTTTATACAGGATAGCCCTTCAGTGCAAGAGTACTGTTATCAAAGGGGTCCTGTCTAAATAACATAACATAAGCGTAGGATAAAAACTAAAATAAGTTGATAATTATTATTAACTGATATATCCCTCCCAGTGGTGGTGATAATGTGATTTTCATATCTAACAGGACACCAAACTAATTTTTATATTGATCCCCAAGAATAAAGTTATTAATAATTGAACATTTTGCCATTACCAAATACAAATCCTTCAGGGCCTTCCCATGTATGTAACCTTTTTTAATCAAAATAAATCATAATACATGGTAAAAGGGGAAATCATTTTTCACAGCCACTGAGTTCATGAAAATTACTAGATAATAAGAAAATTAAATCACTGATTAAAACTTCCTAAGAGACTATATTTTATGAAAATATGACCTTAGGCCATGGGTTTTTGAAGCATACAAGCATTCATTGTCAAAAAAGGAGTGTGTAAGATTGTTCAGTTCCATTACATTATACAGTGTATCAGTCACTAGCAATTCAAAGTTTTCATGAACACTTACTTGAAGCAACTGCTGATGTGCAAAAAGATCATAAGCCAGCCCTGAGGATATCATACTACCCACTACAACTGACAAAGGTCCTCCTCCCCCTGTACAAGCAGCACTTGGACTAGAAGGCCTGGAGGGAGAACCGAATGACCCTATGGGTTGGGTAGGTAGAGGACTTCTACATGAAAGTGATACACTACATCCCCAAGCTCCAGGGTAGTTTGCAACAGGGAATGACTCTGTCAACAGTGATAGAACATGAATGCATCCAAGCTGTTAAGAGAAATGACTTTTATAAGTTGTAAAGGAAATGGGTTATTCAAAATAAAAAAGAACTACAAGCCGTAAACTACTCAGTTCAATTTATAAGCTGTTGAAGACTGTTCAAGATAGCATCTTTTTGTTACTAGTAATCAGCCCCTGGGCTCATAATAAATTGACATTGGTTAATTGTGAAAAGTGATGATGTTTTAAATGATTGTTTGAGATAGGAAGGTTTTCTGCAAGCTTACATGTACATATCATTCCCTAGAGAGATCAAAATCTAATTCCTACAGTGGAAACATTTCTTAGAAGAAAGTTATGTGATAGAATAATGTATGTAGCTTAAAGGGATTGCCTCTACATACGAACAGACTTGTAATTTCATTTACTACTCCTTAGCATGCCCTTGATCTGTGTTACTTTTGTGCAATATTCATACCAATAAGAGAAGTGACTGAGAAACCTGCCTAAGAAAGTTCTCTTTCTTAATTGCGATGGGCACCAATTCCTACACCTTATCACATTAGATTAGTAGGGGTGTGATCAATAATTAAATTACTAATAATTATTATCATGAATGGACTGAAAGCAGCTGCCATCTTAGCAAACTAATTATACCATACCATAGAGGTCCTTGATGTTGAATGATTCAGCTTTGTTGTGATGAGTGACACAGCTCTTGAAAGGTTGGCATCAATAACTGACTGGGTATATGCCTTGCATTGGGATTCCTGAATACAGAGATTACCTGAAACATAAAGTACTGATAATTCGCATTGAATTCATAAATATTGATAATGTGTGCTACAACCCTGTACATGTATGAAAGTCATTCTGTATCTTGAGCAATTCTAATTTCTTTGAAGAGATGTTCTTTAAGTTAAGAAGGTCTGCATGCAGTTGAAATAATTATAAAAACACTCAAAATCTATAGACAGTCATGTCCAATATACTGTAGTCATAAACTATGACACATACATGTACAGTACATATTGTTCCATTAAGGGAGATCATACCAAGCTATACAATAATATCACAAAAATTTATCTCAGAAATAATTATCTCAGATAAAAAAATAATAAAATAATTTCATGATCAAAACAATTGATTTGTTTAATATTATTAATGATCAACTATTTTATAACAAACTTACTGATTTGACTTCGAACAGCAGAAATTACCACAGCTTGTTTGTCATTGTTTAATGAATAAAAGAGTTGTGGAACCATGCTGGAGAGTAAAGACAAGGCAATCTTAGAGCAACTGTTAATTATCAAAAGTCTTGAAAGCTAGATAAATCTCTGTTTTCAATCTACTTTCACACTTCCCCATCCTGTTACCCATTGAAATACCTTCAGTTTGTATCCTGCAATTGGGTGTTTTAATTCCAGTGTATCTTGTCTTAAGCTTATCCTTCAATTCCTCCCCTACAACTTGACCTTCCAACCACATACATGTTCAGGACTGTAAATTTGGGCAGTTCTGCTTCCTGTTGTAAACAGGCCTCTATTTCTACATTTCTGGGCAGAATGTTGCGTCATTGCTATGTTACCCTCCACTTCCCTTTTCCTGTCTTTAACTGCATAACAGTTAGCAAGTAACTTCCTCTCGAGTGGCCAAATGATAGTGTAGCTGCCTTATGTTCTTGGGCAAAGCACTTTACTCTTATTATTATAAATTATTACTGACACAGTGCCTATCTCCACCTAGGTGTATAAATGTGTACCAGTGAGTTTAATGCTGGGGGTAACCCTATAATCCCATCTGAGGGGGGGGGGGGGAAGTATAAATTTGCCTAGTAACTTAGCTTACATGTAATATGCTACAGAAACCAAGAAAGCTTGCAAATTTGTTGCAACAGGTCAGTGCAGAAAAAGGGCAGAGTAACTTGCCATGGATTAAGCACCCCATTCAGAGGGAGAGGCAATTCTCAATCCTAGCCATGCACCTGATTGCACAGTGTAAAGTGCCAGGATCATTCTAACCCTTCCCTGGACTTAAATCATCTAAATTGTCAGTTTCACATTTCAATGTTTTATTTACTTTTTTGTTTACTTGTAAAAACATTTTTTAAAAGTGACTACGAACTGAATCTTCAGATTTACTTGTCATTTTTTACATCTCTGCCATACCTGACAAAACACTTGGCAGCTGCAGACCTGACTCGGATGTCATCATCTTCCAACAAGTCCAGCACCACATTGTTAATCAGATCTTCTTGTAAATTAGTTTTCTTTCAAACCAATCAAAGAAGTCTTTTAAATTACATTTTATTAATACAAGTTTATCTGACTACTTCTTCACAAAACAATATACACTGTTTTGCCATCATGAAAAACTCTCCACAAATTACAAATTCTGCATTACCGTAACTTCAGCTTTCACAGAACAATCTTGCAACATTGATCAAAAGGAGTTTCCTTACCGAATCAACTTTGAAAATTGAGTTTTCTATCAAAAAATTGCCACATGTACAAGGAAGAGTGCAATAGGCCCTTAAAATTTGATTTGAGGAATCTTGAGTTCTTTTGGCTGTAATTGATCTAAAATGTCTAAGTATGACAAATGGCTTACTGAAGCAAATCAGAAGAAAATACCAACTTTATAGTTGTAAACAGAACACAGTACAGGTAGAGTAAACTTCAACAAATTTGACAGGTATATAACTTACAAATAATCTTTGCATCCCTGATTCCTGGTGGTTTTCAAATTTGCTTTTTAAAAATGTCAAGAGCCTGAAAAAAGGTGAGAATAAGAAATCAATTAGGGATCCACAGTTATAATTAATTATACTTTTGTTAGCTCATGATACTGTAGATCAAACAGCTCAGGCTCGAGCCCAGGCTGGGGTCACTGTGTTGTGTTCTTACTGTCACAGTGCCTTTCTCTGCCCAGAAGTACGTGTACATCATTGTATAAATGGGTGTACCAGCAGAATGTTATGGCATCCTCACAGCAGAAGTTTCCCATTCTAGGAAACAAACAATCTAAAATTTGTATTACACTATGGACACCAAGACTCCATCCAATGTTTTAACCACTACACAAACCTGTGTGTATAACAAGTAGTTTGAGATGTAACAAGCAGAACACAGTATTTAACAAACAAATGAAAAATCACTTCCCCTTAGCATGTTGTTTCACACTGTATACTGTTATTTGTCAAACAATGATTGAATTAGTTTTAAGTTAGGTTGATACCTGAAGTCCACATCTTCTAATATGTCTAGTAATTCAACCTGCATAGATGAACAAAATAGGATTTTTATTTACATGTAAGTGAAGAAACTCTGGGGAAACAAACAGGTCATATTAAATTTTGTTGAAATAAATTGACCAGACGAGTACAGTGTAGCATTTACTGTAGGTATGAAAAAGTTAGCTGAGTTGATAATTATTTTTAAAGTGCCTTAAAAGAACAGGTTCATCAACAATATTATACATTTAAAGCATGGTGTGCTTTAAATTGTTATAATTCTACCTTTACAAGCCAATAAGAGTTGTTTCTCAAGTGAGAAATGATATTCAGGAGGTCCAAAGCAACCTTGGAGTGTTTGCTAGAGCACAGCAGGGAGAAACAGTTCTGAAAAAAAAATATTAAGAGTAAAAAAACTAGTGAGAAAATCTCAGATAGTGCAGAGCGTTATTTACATCTCTGATGCAGTAGTCACACAGGTCCTCACCCCTGCTGCTCTCTCCCTTGGTAGTCACCTAGGCCTTTTCCCCTTTGCAGAATATGAGCGGACAAAAACTTGATAAGACATACTCTTAGCTGAGTGTATGTTTCATGTTTGTGTTTTGCCCAAAAATAACTTACAATTACCGTTTGTCAAGACAGTTTTAANAACAGCAGCCCCCTAAACCATCCCAATAGTGCACTCTGCACTAAAAATGATAGATTCTGTTCTTGGGAAAGACACTTTGCTCTGACTCATAGAGCCTCTCCCCACTCAGGTGCATAAATAGGTACAGGGAAATTTATGCTGGGAGGTGGCCTTGAGATGGATTAGCATCCCATCCACGGGGGAGTAGAATGAGATACAGTCCTAGTTGCTTAATGCTACAGAAACCAAGATAAGCTCCAGCTTTATGAGGCCACTGGCCAGAAACAAACATAACCTTGTACGGTTTTTCTGTAGAAATGTTTAAAATGCTTTTTCTACCTTAAGAGAAATGCAAGCTTGTCTTATAGCAACAGGTGAGTCATCTTGAAGAATAGACTTCAATACTGGCATCAGGTCTTCAAGTGCTAAGGGAACTGAAGAAAGAAACATTGTATGAGGCTGTGTTTCTTTGGGATGTTCCAGATTAGGATCAATGATCCAGGATCACTTGGACCATGGTACACCATAAGAACTGAGGAATCTTTACACAGCCATGTGCAGTGTGGATTCACTAATCAGTTTGGATCACTGATCTTGATTCTGACTACCCAAAGGAATGCCCCCTTAATAATTTACACTTCAGTTCAGCCCACAGCTCCTGCATGGCAAACATTTAAAATGTAAATATCACACATCAAGTATATGTACACGTTAGTTCATACCTGTCTCCATTTCCTGACAAGTGTCAATACACCAAGTGTCGAAATCAAGCCTGAGATTTAATTAAATAGGAAAACTTATTAACTTATTAATTGAGTTACATGGTAAAATAAAAGAATTTTTTTAAATGCAGCTTGCAATTGGATTTAAAATCATGTCTTAGTATTTTGCAAGAGTCATTTACCTGTGTGAGTGTGTGGGTATCTTGTGCACAATTTCAAGAACTAGGAGAGGGTGTAGCTGCCCTTCACTTCAGATCAAATTCAATTAAAATTTTTGTAAAAATAACACATGAGCAAATGGTCAATGGTGCATAAACATTGCTATTCCTTTGAAGAACACTGCACTCATTGGCAAGTACAATGTAAAATTTGAACCAAGTAAGGACACACCACTTGACAAGTCTGAAACAAAAATAATGTACCCTTCATTTACCAGTTTTATTTTGAAGACATGAGGACTGGTATCAGAACTTGGACAACCACATACAGGAGCTTACTCAGGAACTGCCTACATTCATGTAACACATCGATTGCCTTAATTTGTAGAGAAAAATAATGCTGTTTGCTAATTTCTAGCAGTCTCATTCTTACACATGTAGTTACTGAAACTCCTAACAGCTTATTGAAAAACAAATCCTACACATCTGACACTGTCACTACTAACCTTCCCTTCTCAAGTCCTGTTCTAATAACATTTCCAATCACAGTCGACAGACTTCCTCGAAGCTGTGGATCTCCATGACCGCTGAATAGAAGAATATCTCGAACAAGCTGAGGGCTTGATTGACGCAGTTCCTCATCATCTGACTCTTCAGATGACTCAGGCAGTATTCGGACCAAAAATGCTTCAGGATGCAGCTTAACAGCTTGCGCAATGCAGGAAAGAGCCAAAGATTTCACACTGACACGAACACTGGAGTCTGACAGCATTTCTCCAGGGTTTCCAGACAAAAGAAATGAACACATTAGGCGGACACAGTGGATGAGAGGAACACCTCTGCAGGCCACTGCATCAATCTGAAAACTTCTCTCAACAAGAAGCCTCACTTCCTGGGTTGAAACTGATTCTGTCCTTATGGTATCATCATCAGTGGATGACAATTCATGTTCCAAGTCATCACTGTCCTTGCGAGCAACAGATTCCACTGTACCATGAGATGCTTGAGCCTCACTCCAAGTTGCATTGTCAGTTGTATCGTTATCTTTCTCAACAGCATGGCCAGGATCCGATAAAGACCGGGTCACTCGTCTACTTCCTGTGTTTCCTTCAGACACCAGGCTTGACATTGGATTGAAAACATCTCCTCCTTCCTCCATTTCCTCTCTTGCTTGATCATCATCAGTGGCAGAACTGCCATGTAAACGCAGGTGATCCAACTCTGACCTCAGCATTTCATCCGTTGTTGCTTGATCTGTATCCAAATCGGTAGCAACAGAGCTGCCAATTCCAGTGTCTACAGTACTAGCTGTACTCTCAGCAATGGATGCTATTTCTAGTTCACTCATCACTGAGCCACCTTCAGACACTGTTTCCTCAAGAACCTCCAAGCCTGGAGAAAGGGGTAGGTTGACAAGTCAGTTAGATATATAGCAGAGTAAATTGGTAATCAACAAAACTGCAATTCAAAAATATTATTAATAACATCTTCAGCTTCATCCTCAAATCTATCTGAGTAAGTGTAAAAATTCAAGCGGGAGTAGGGCAGATGTTTATAGCAGAATGTAGTGCTGAAGGATTAGAATTTATACTCTCATGTAAAACCTGACAAAAAGAAAATGCCCAGTTGAAAAAGTCATAGTGCATTGCATGAGTACATGCAGTAGCTTTCGGGGGGGGGGGGGGGGGNCCTGAGGAGAGTTGGTTGCCGATGAGAGTGGTCACCAATAGAGCTACAACTGCACTAAAGAAATAAAAATACTTGCACATCCACAACATGAGTACAAAACTGTACAGTGCATCTGTACCTTTCTTGAGTATATCAGAACCTGTGCTTGGTGTTATCCCCTCACTGGATAGAAGAACTGACAGAAGAGCAGGTGGGGGAGTGCGCAGAAGCTGAAGTAGCGTTTCAAGAGAAGCTGTCACCACGTTGTGATTTGAGTGCTTTGTACAGTACATGATTACTTCATAAGCCTTGGAAAGACAGCAACAAAGTCCTTGATTAGTTTCAAGAATGGACAATATTAATAGAGGTTAAAATAAAATAATTATGCAAGAAGATTATACATAACTTTTATTATGTACATGTACATGTATAACCCCAGTTACACCCTAGGGCAACCGGGTTCAATATTTTGATGCCCCTGAAAACTGTTTGTTGTGGCCTTATTCCAAAACTAGTTATCTACAGACTGCTAGGTCTGTGGAAAGTCTACATGTAAAGTCTAAAAACATTCAGTAATTTTTAAATTTTACTTTTTTTAGCCCTGTAATAGCATATTTTATTTTTTAATTGTAATGTAACTTTTTTATACTTTTTATCATGATATGTAAAGTGCTTTTGAATATTTTATATAACTAGTACTATAAAAATTATATTTTATTATTTATTATATGGCCCATCTACTGTAATCAAATAAAATGGGCAATTTAATACAAAATTGAGATGGGTGCTGTGCTGTTGACATATCTACCAGAAACCATTTGCACAAAATTTGCTGTTGTGTGTTTCTTTACAACTGAAATCATTTTGGTAAGATTTTTTCATCGGTAGTAGTTCATCATTAGCTCTGTCAATTGTTCACAATGCCTCTCTAGGTTTTTCTTGTGACACTGCGTTGTATGCTGGGCTGAGCAGGGTGGGAGGGGAGTCAGTACTTAATATGTAGATATATACTAAATGTCTTATTAAATACAGTCAAACCTCCACTAATAGACACCTTTCTATAAGGGTCACCTCTCTTCAACGGCCACCTTTTTTGTCCCAGTGGATGGTCCATACATTCACCCTTATTTTGAGCTCTCTACAACATTTGGCCACCTCTACACCCCTTATTTCCATATCAGCCACTTCTCTACAATAGCCACTTTTCTCTGTCCCCAAGGAAGCTGTTATGGAGAGGTTTGACTGAACAAACAATTTGGCTTTCAATAGGGTTGGAGAAATGGCTAGACATTAAATTTGATTGTGATCCATGCACAAGCTAAAAGTGTTAACAGTATGATGGCTTCTGGTCAGGACTTCACAAGTCAAGACAATAATACTATTACAGTTGAACCTCTGGTTGGGACCACCTCTCATAAGTGACAACCTCTCCTCAGCGACCAGTTTTCCAAAATACCAAACATTTTCAAGTCAAGTCACTGTATTTGGAACCTCTTGTAAACGATCACCTCTTGTAAGTGACCGTGACCACTTTTAGAGCTAAAAGTTTGAAATTTTCTTTCGCTTTTAACCTTCCATAAGTGACCACTTGACAGATGGTAGAGCGTAAATTGAATAATAAGGTGTTGTAACCATATTGTATTCCTGGGTAGTACAAGAGACAGAGATTTCTCAGTGGGAAGCACACTCACAATTTTTCTCAAAATTGACTTTTTGGATAAATAAAACACTAAAGCATGGGGTACACTGTAAGTCTCTGCAATTACCATAATGCTGATGGGGTAAAATTTTGACCCAATAATGGTCTAAGCTCTCGTAAGTGACCACCTCCCACAAGCAACCACCAAGGCTTGACATTTTGGGTGGTCACTTGCAGGAGGTTCAACTGTATTTAAAATATCATTTTGCCCAATTTAAAGGCAAAATAGTTATTGTGGAGGTACAGGTCTTTCAATGTTAAATACACTTGTACTATGGATTTTCTGAAACATATAAATTTTGTTAAATTATTAATCATTGTCAACCTGCAAAAGCTGATTGCCTTCTATCTGTATATCACCAGGTACTCCATCGCTAGAATATGATCGCTGAGAACCAAAGCTGCCTCGCAAACCTTTCAGACCACGTCCACTTGAGGAAGAACTATCCAAATTGGGGATCATGTGCCGTAAACACATCAGCACACCAAGATAAACAGTTGAGTCTTTATCTTCATGAAATGGTAGCACCAAGCCTAACCAAATGAACAGAAAGTAATTTCATAGGATTCATAGTAGATGAGTACATTTACAAAATTAACCATTTATAACATATATGATACAAGGCACTGTAGTGCACTTGGCATGTAAAACTGGCAAACTGACAATATTTTATTTTGGAGCAGGGATATGTTTAATCTCTGCAGTTTGGTCTAGAACAGGGTAGCAATCTTATGATATTACTGACAATTATTCTATGGAATCAAAAACAGGATAGGAAGTTTTTATTTAGCATCAGTCCGACCTAGTATACATGTAGACCTAGAGTATAGATCTTAAACAAAGCTTTAGCACCTACCTGTACATTGCATCATGTACATTTCACCCTTTACTACTGAAGTTATGTACAAGTCATGTAAATTGTACATTAACAAGGTAGCATTTTCACCAACAGCACAGGTTCTTACCCATTTATCCAGGAGCACATGGAAAGGTGTATAACTATGGCAAAATCACTATGCATGTACATGTATGTGATACTTTACTTTGTAACATCTCACCTAACAGAATGTTTAGTAGCCATTCATAGAAGAAGGTTGGTTTGCGTGAATATCGACAAATGTCAACAATGCCACTTGCTGCTGTACGTCTTGTTGTTGCAGATGAGGATCGCAGGTTTGGCAGAAATGTTTTCAACAGTTGCTGCAGATAAAAAAAAAATAAAACTTTAATGCTGGGAATTTCAAGTAAACTTGCAACCCTCATGAACTTGTACGAAAAAAACTGTTTGCAAAGCACTGGACGGTACTACCAGTAAAATTACTTGGTTATCCTTTTTTATCCATAATTGTTTTAAGCATTCACTCATGAATAAAGTAGAAACTGGACAAAAAAAATCAGAGAGCATTTGCAATATGCAATAGCATGACAAAGCATACTACAGGTATTTTTTATAAGATTTTCTGTTACAAGGAGAATGGCAAAACATACCTTGACCTCAGTATCACTAGTAAAACTACCCAGAACACACATGATCTTCTGCATGGCAGTGGCCAGTGTTTCCTGACCAAAAAAGCAAATTCCATGTAAGCAGTTATCCAAACACACATCCTGATGTGTGGATCCAGAAAATATCCATACCCACAACAAGGATGTCACTGGAAATTCTGAGGGGGTGGGTGGTCTCAACAGCCAAATTTTTAAAGGGAAAGTATGAAGCTAAGCGGGAAATTCCAGGGGAGAGGGGTACAAACCAAACTATAACCATCCTTTGTGGAGGTTTGGATATTTTCTGGAACCACACAATCCTAGAGAACAACTCAGGTCACATACTGCTCAAGGGTACATACATGTACCTGTGCTAAACTCTAGTAAACCTCGGAGCATGAAGCGACTAGGAACTCTATGTGTTGACTGAAAGGATTTTTTAATTCGTTACCACCCTCAAAATTTTGACAGACAGCCCTTTCAGCTATAAAGTTCATTCTAGTAGGATTCCAGGATTATGTTATTTTCTTATTGAACAAATATATCCATTGGCAGCTTGCATCTGTGGAAAAAGCTGAACATAGTTCAACCTTTCCTGCAGATGCGAGCTGTACACACACTGGCTTCATTGTATTCCACAGCAATAATAATAATAATAATAATAATAATAATAAT